TATATATATATATATATATATATACCATAGAATTCCACTATAATTTATCAAGCTTAGAAACTAAGCTGTATTTTGGTCTAAAAAATATGAAATTTTGAGCAGACAACCTACCTCTTTGAATTCTTGTTTTGAAAAATGAGATGGTATCCTATCACTTGAAAATGGCTGAGAATGCCACTACGGGGACATTCTGAGCTTTCCATTGGTTATTCACAGGTCACATACACAAGTAAGTGTATATAAGGGACCATTTCCAAAAATGGAAAGAGTTGAGCAAAGTAACTGTGTTTGATTCAGTACATCAACGATATCTCAGCAAATAGAAAAGATAGGAGGTCCTTATTTTATATTCTAGCTTGTTAATATTGGTAATTTGAGTTCCTAATTTGCATGAAACTGTAGACTTTATTTTGACATCACAAACATCTAATTTGAACCAGTGCTGCATTCAAAATACCTCATTACCCACAAAAATCGATGGTTAGCTGTGTTTTTGAATATTTACTTTTAAATTAAGAAATTGAATAAAGTATAATACTAAAATTTGAATTATAATCTACAATTTGTTACCAAACTTATTGACATAAATTCATTAAATAGTAGTTCAGTAAAATTTTGAATGCAAGTCAACAAACACGATAACATGGCAAGTTTTATACTCTTGGATACAGTAACGTGAGTGCATGTGCACTGCATCATTGTAACTTCTGTAATGTTAGCCAGGCACGGCTGAAAAGTCAATATTATAAAAAGAATAAATGTTTAATGTTATGACATTTATGCTGTTTAGACAACATTTGTGTTTTCGAGTTATAATTTGTAGTCATTCTAGAATGACAAAAAGCCTAATTTATATTCCTGATTTTTATGGTGGTTACGAGGTCAATCAAAGCAACCCAACCCATACAGAGATACAATAGTGAGAATAACAGATAAAATATAAACTTTTTTTCTAAAAAACATTTGATAATTATCTGGTGATTATAAAGATTTTGCATGTGAAATTTGCAAATGTTCTGATGCATAAAAGTATTTTTAATCTTAAAATCAAAATTACTTTGCATGTTGGATAGTCAACATTTGGAAAGATAAAAGGTACCATAAAAACATTAGTAAAGAAATCTTAAAACTTAATAAAACAATCTGATATTTTGCATACAAAGGCCTTGTAATGTTTACTAATAATCTACAAAATTTTGTAAAGGTATGCAAACATTATCAAAAATCATAGTATAATTACTATCATGGATACTTTTGTGGTTACATGCTAGATAGAACCCACCCAACCCATAATCGTAGAGTTAAAGAAAAACACAAAATTAAATTTAATACTATGATTTTGACCTATGCAATTATTAAATTTGAAGTGTGAATTTTTTTGCCTTGCACTGTTATTTTGAACACAAGAGTATGGTATTAAGAAAAATTCAAATTAAATACACCATTGTCTGAATTAATTGTCTACAATGTGCTTAAATATTATATGTCAGAAGTCTCTTCTTTTTTCTTTTTTTTTTCTCCCAATGAAGGCTAAACCTGGTGACCCAAGTTTGAACCCAGATGCTGAAATCTTTTGTAGCAAGACTTTGGAAAATAACTGTGTGAAATCATCTATATCTCAGGCAGTTGGCGGAACTGGTGGTGAAGGTATGTATGTTTTAGCTGAACTAAAACGACAGTTTCCTGTAATGTCAAACTTAACAGATGCTTTGTGTTCCCTGGGACTAAAGAAATGTAAAATTTCACCCACTTCCCTTGACTAGAAAAGTAATTTATCACTACATCCCCCCCCCCCCCCCCCCCTCTTTTC